AGACTGAAGAACGAAAGGGCAGCAACTTGTCTGTTCCCCTTCCCCCAGTTCCCCAGCGCTGTTCCCATCTCCCAATTCCCCAATAAAAATCTTAAAAAAAAAAAAATTTTTACTAAGAAACCCCCACTACACTAAACACATCATGGTAAAACTTCTGAAAACAAAAGATGGAAGGGAGAGCAGCCAGTGAGAGGGGGGGAAAATTACGTTGTCCCTTCCCTCTAAGTAAGAATGACAGGTGACTTCTTTTAAGGAATTGTGGAGACTAGAAGACAATATCTAAAGTGCTGAAAAAAAAAAATAAAACACATAACCTAGAAATCTCTGTCAAGTAGAAATCTTTTATTTTTTTATTTTTCAGTTACATTGACATTCAATATTCTATTAGTTTTAAGTGTACCACATATTGGTTAGACATTTATATAACTTAGGAAGTGATCACCCCGTAAGTCTAGTACCCACCTGATACCATACATTGATTACAACATTACTGACTATATTCCCTATGCTGTATTTTACATACCCTGTGACTATTTTGTAACCGCCAATTTGTACTTAATCCCTTTATCTTTTAAGGAGAAATCTTTTAAAACTGAAGGTGAAATGAAAAATTTTGAGATAAAAGCTAAGAGAATTGTCACTACCAGACCTGAGCTAGAAGAATTGCTAAAGGAAGGTCTTCAGGCTGAAAAGATACCTAATGGAAATTCACAGCCACAGACAAGGAGGAAAGGCATTCTTATGGTTTAAAAGGCTGCACATTATGGCCCTTATATGTTGCTGAGATTTAATCTCATAAGATGTTCTCTTGCGCTCACTGCCCAGCCAGTGTTATTTTGTTTTTTTCCAAATTCTAACAAACTCATTACTGGATCCTGAAGTCAATCTAGAGGGTCTTGCCTAACCTTTTACTTCCTAAGATGGAGAGTAGAATGGGAAATACCAGAGTACGCTGGTATGAAACCTAAGTATTAACTTTATCTCGGGCCTGTGTGATTACATACTGGTTTACAATGTAGAATGGGTGTTTGATCTCTGGGTTGTAGTCCAAAGTGTTTGGAAAACCCTACCCTAACTCCACTGGCTTTTCTATTTCTTGAATATCCCAGTTCTTGTATGTTGTTGCTACCTGAGGACTTTCTTTTTGCCTCATGGCTAGCTTCTTTTCAACTTTTAAATTTGAGCTCAAGTATTACCTTCTCACAGGAGTTTTCCGGCCTTACAAACCAGGGTACAATAATCAGTATTAGCATGGAAGGAAAAAAAATCTCTAGAGCTAAAAGGAGTATCAAAAGTTGCTTTTGAACTTTCCCAGAATTTATACCAGGCAGTGAGACCAACAAACTGTAATAACAGCCTGTTCTAGGTAGAAAAAGATGATTAGATCTGTTTACCTGGAATGAAAATAGAAAATAAAGTCTTTTTTAAAATCATTAACATCCTGCCTTCCATTCCTTGTTTCTTTGTTTCCACTGGAAATTTCTACTTTGCACTAGTTTTCCTGTCCTATGTTAAAACAGCTTTTCATTAATTCTGGAATTTCTCCTCTTTTCAGTGGTCAAATGTCCATATCCAGCACTCAAAAATGGAAACATTATATCAGGATTTGGAAGAAAATATTATTATAAAGCAAAGGTTCTATTTGAATGCCTCCAGGGTTTTTCCCTTAAAGGCAGCAACACAATCGTCTGTGGAGCTGACAGTACCTGGGAGCCTGAGATGCCAGAATGTATTAAAGGTACAAAGGGTATCTTTTTTCTTTTTGGGGTTTATTGTTTTTAATTTAATTTTTTACTTTGATTTAAATATAAATGATACAAAGTAACTGAAATGAAGCAGTTTTAGTATTTAACTGTCTTGAATTTCCATGACAGATGTAAAATTCACAAGGAGTCCTACTTTTGTTATTTAGTATATTTTCTTAGGGTTAGCATGTTACGCACATCACACAGGTGTATACATTTTTCTTGTTTGGCTTTTTTATGTTTAAAAGTAGATAGCAAACATTTTTCCGAAAACTAAAGAATGGCTATTTTTATCTAAATAAGTCAAGCATGAAAGGCATAATTCATATAAATAAAAAGTGATAACTCCTCTAAGTTACTTTCTTTTCCAGTGCCGACTCCTCCCAGCACTAAACCTCCGACTCCTCCCAGCACTAAACCTCCGACTCCTCCTAGTACTAAACCTTCGACTTCGAGTCATCCAGGTTTAGTAACACCTTACATTTTTCAAAACTCTTTTAAATTCTTGGTGAAAATGCCAGTCATAATTCCCAAGTATTTGATCCAATCTGTTATTTTTTTTTCCAGTGCCGACCCTTTCCAGTACAATATCTCCAATTTCCACTGACTCAGGTTTAGTAACTTCCTGCTTATATATTTCAGAATTCTTTCAATTCCTGGTGATTTTTTTGAAATCCTTTAAATGTTGGATGTTTTCAAAATACTTTAAATGTCTGATGATTTATCATTCATCATTTTTAGTAATGAAAAGAGGAAGATCATATTTACAGCTATTTTCGTTGTTATACTTAGTGATTCTAAAATCATTAGCCTTATTCCTCAGATATAAACAGCTATGTTAACTTGTTATGTAATAACCGTAAATGTATTTATACGTACAATGATTTAATACATTTGTCACTGGATGATAAAGCTTAAATTGGTTGAATTTAAAGCACTTAGCACAGTGCCTGGCATATAGGAAGCTCTTAAAGGAAACTCATATGACTTACAGCATCACGCCAACTAACATTAGTGAAGAAGAAGGTAGGCCTGTGGCGTTTGTTTTCTAATATGTATGTTTTTTGTATCACCAATTTTGCTATTTTAATTCATGGTAAAAAGTGATCTGTTGACACATATCTTCCTGGTCCAGGGCTGTGTTTCATTTCCCAGACTGCAGCAAGTTTAGTTCTTTTTATATAGTCCAATTTGAACTGGGAAATTTCTGCTGTCTTCCAAAACAAGACTGGTATTTCTGCCAACCCCGCCTCTCCCCATCTCATACAATTTTTCTTTTTCTCTTTACTGGAAATTTCTATTTGGCAACAGAAACTAGATTTCATAGCAACTGAAAGGCAGGAAAAGTCCTTATTTATTGAAATGAAGTGGAGGACTTGTTACATGGACAGCTGATCAACTGCCCTGCTTAAGACCTGAGAGGTTATTCTGATGTGTATGGTGGGAGGAACCGTCTTCCTGATGTTGGTGCTGCTGTCTCTGGCTTCTGTTTGGTTTAAGCAGAAACGAGAGCCAAGAGGAACAGTGGGAAGAGCGTCAGCCTGCGCCGCCCTCACTCAGGGTCCTAGTTGGGCTCTGTTTACTCCAGGAATGTCCTTTCTGTGGGCTTAGTTTCCTGTTAAAGATGAGGGTGTTGAACTCAAATCTCAATTACTGGCTTATTTGTTTGTATGTTTCCTGTTGTCCCACTATTTTAAAGGATTGAGGGGACTTATGCATGTTAATGTGGATAGAACACATTGTTATGATTCCTGTACACCTGGTTCCTTGTAACCACCTTGAGTACCTTAGCTGAGTGCTGTGAGGTTTGGGGGGAAAGATGGTTTTTCGGTGGACTGATATATTAAGATTGCAGGTGAGCTTTATACTCATCAACCCATCCATGTTTACTTACGTGGTCCTAGTGGGTGTATGCACTGTGGGATACTGCGTTTGTTGATATGCTCTTTTGAAAGAGTTGATCCTAAGAATTCATAAAGGATTTATAAGTTGAGTATGTGGAAGACAGAGGTGCGAATTGATTGTGAGAAACATTTACAAACTACAAGGATTTTTTTTAAATATCAAAATTCTTTATGACTCTGTAAATCGTTTTTTATTATCAGTTAAAGAAAGGATCAGTAGCAACATACGAGGTCTGATAATCAAGTTCATGAACTTGTTGCAACAATGGTGCTATCATTTTTTGATATCAGAGGGATTATTCATTATGAATTTGTACCAGTTGGACAAACGGTTAACCAAGTTTGCTATTTGGAAGTGCTGAACAGGCTGTGTGAAAAAGTTAGACACCTGAACTTTTTGCCAACAAGTCATGGCTCTTGTATTACGACAATGCACCAGCTCACACAGCACTGTCTGTGAGGTGGTTTTTAGCCAGTAAACAAAAAAACTGTATTGGAACACCCTCCCTACTCACCTGATCTGGCCCCCAATGACTTTTTTCTTACCTGAAGGTAAAGGGAATATTGAAAGGAAGACATTTTGGTAACATTCAGGACATCAAGGGTAATATGATGACAGCTCTGATGGCCATTCCAGAAAAAGAGTTCCAAAATTGCTTTGAAGGGTGGTTTAGGCACTGGCTTCAGTGCATAGCTTCCCAAGGGGAGTACTTTGAAGGTGACTGTAGTGATATTCAGCAATGAGGTATGTAGCTCTTTTTCTAGGATGAGTTCACGAACTTAATTGCGGACCTCGTGTAATGGTGATGAGGTATACCTAATTGTGCTGATATGAAAAATTGTCCAAGAAATACTAAGGGAAAAGGAATACAAATTATGTACTATAGTATGATACTACTCGAATGGTATTTTTTAAAGATACATGTGTGTATTCTTTTTTACAATTTACTGTTAGTTAACTCCTAGAGTTTCCATTGTAAGATACAAAGCTGTAGTGAACGTTGTTATACTTTTGTAAATACATATTTAGGTTAAATTCCCAGAAGTAGAATTGCAAAGTTTAGAAAGTATGTGAATTTTTCATTTTGAGGGCTAATTAATCTTTTTTAAAAAATAAAAAATTAAAATTAAATCTGTAATAATCAGATTGATAAAACTGGTGAAGAGAATCAAATTTATTTTTCCAGGTGTCAAGCCTACGGCTGCTGCTCCTCCTGCTACTCTTCCAACCACAACTCAATCTCCAGGTTCTCCAGGTTCTCCAGGTTCAGTAACTCTTGATCCTACTTATATTGTTCAGAACGTCATAAGGTAGTGGGTAAAAACTGATGTCATGTATCAATTTACATTTCTTTTGTTATCAGTGAAGTGGAATTATTTTGGTCTACATTATTTAGTCATGTCTTTTGTGTATTTTTCTATTAGGTTTCTAAAATATTTTTGTTAATTTGTCAAAACTATAAATTAAAGCCCTTTTAACTTTAAGTAAACATTTTTTCCAGGATTTTTTTTTTTTGCCTTATTTTTAGTAGTCAGTTTTCTTGGAAGATTTTTATACTGTTGGATATTGATTGCTTTTTATAACTTTAATTACATAAATAGTATGTGAATATAAATTCGTAGAATTTCAAACATTACAAAAGTATACAGAGTAAAAGATTAGTCTCCTTTTTTTCTAGTCCATTATGTGAATTAATCACTTAATAGTTTAAGTGTCTTTTTTATCTGTTTCTGTACATCAGTATCCTTATATGGATAGTATATGTGTTTTGCATGTTTCCTTTTTTTCTTAAAAGTGGCCTCATACTATTTGTATTTTTCTAAAGCTCACTTTTTACATTTACTATCTTTTAGATTGGGGTTGTATTTAGATTTATTCCCATCCTTCTTTATTCTGACTTTAATATATATACCATATTTTATTTATTCTATTAGTGGCCACTTATAAGTACAGAAGTTTTGCATTAATAGGTAATTGGATGTATCAATCTTTTCCCTAATGGCTATGAGTATTGTGTCTTTTTTGTTAAAGCTTTAGGTTGTCTCCATGCTGAAATTATATAAATATTTCATCCATGTCTTCTGATTGCATTCTTCGCTTTAAAATTGTTGGTACATCAGAAATTCTTATGGTACATGGAATGAGAGAGGGTTCCTTTCCACTCTACCCACCCCTATTTTTTTAATATGTTGTCTTTTCTCCAACTGTTTTGAAATGCCAATTTTTATCTTAAATTACAGTCAGAGGTATTCTAGTCATCTTTCTGTTCTCTTGAAGTCTACATTCCTGTGCAATCATCAAATTCTGTTGTTGTTGTTGTTTTTTTCACTGTAGTATTATGATATGTCTTACTATCTTGCGGAACAATTCTTATAAACGTTCGGCTACCTCTCTAATGTTTGTTTCTAGATCAGCTTTTTTTTTAAACCATTTAACCATTTTAAGTGTACATTTCAGTAGCATTAAGTATGTCCCCATTATCAAGCAACCATCACGACTATCTCCAGAAATTTTCATCTCAAATTAATATATCCATTAAACAATAACTAACCTCTCCCCACACAAACACATGGGAAAACTACTATCCTACTTTCTGTCACTATGAATTTGACTATTCTAGGTATCTCATAGAAGTGGAATCACTTCTGACTTATTTCACTTAGTATGTTTTCAAGGTTCATCCACCTTGTAGCAAGAATCAGAACTTTATTCTTTTCATGGCTGAATAATTTTCCATTGTTTGTATATACCACATTTGGTTATCCATTCATCTGTTGATAGACACTTGGGTTGTTTCCAACTTTTGGCTATTCTGAGTATGCTTCTCTGAATATTGGCATTTGTTAATTGTTTGAGTCCCTGTTTTCAATGTTGGGGTATATATCCCTAGGAGTAGAATTGCTGGGCTGTGTGGTAATTCTGTATTTAGTTTCTTGAGGAACAGCCATACTGTCTTCCACAGTGCCTGCACCGTTTTACATTCCCACCAGCGATGCACAAAGATTCCAACTTCTCCACCTCTTTACCAACACTTATTATTTTCTGTTTTTGATAGTAGTCATCCTCATGTATATGAAGTGATATTTCACTGTGGTTTTTACTAGCATTTTCTAATGATTAGAGATCATGTTTACATGTGCTTATTGGTATTTGTATATTTTCTTTGGATAAATGTCTATTCAAGTCTTTGGCCAATTTTTGATTTGTTTTTTTTTGTTGTTGTTATTGAGTTTTAGGAGTTCATTATATATTTTGGACATTGGTTCTTTAGCATATATATGATGTGCAGTTGTTTCCTCCCTGTGGATTGATTGCCTTTTTACTGATAAAGTTTTTAATTTTGATGAAGTCCAATTTATCTATTTTTTCTTTTGTTACCTGAGCTTTTGGTGTCACATCCAAGAAATCATTGTCAGATCCAATATCATGAGGCTTGCCTTCTATGTTTTCTTCTAAGAGTTTTATAGTTTTAGATCTTATGCTTAATTCTTTGATCCATTTTGAATTAATTTTTCTATATGGTATAAGGTAAGAGACTAAATTCATTCTTTTGTATATGGTAGCTACTTTTCCAAGAACCATTTGTTGCAAAGACTGCCCTTTCCCCATGAAATGTTCTTAGCACCCTTGTATTCATTTGACCATATATGCGAGGTTTATATTTCTGGGGACTCTATTGGTCTGTGTATCTGTCTTCATGCCAGTACCACTCTGTTTTGATGATTGTAGTTTTGAGTAAGTTCTGAAATCAGGAACTGTGAGTCCTCTTAACTTTGCTCTTTTTTTTAAGATTGTCTTGGTTTTTCCTAGTCCCTTGGATTTCACATGAATTATAGGTTGGATTTTTCTATTTCTGAAAAAGAAATAGCATTCAAGTTGTTGATAGGGGTTGTATTTAAACTGTAGATTGCTTTGTATAGTATAACATTTTAACAATACAAAGTCGTCCAATCCATGAGCACAGGATGTCTTTCCATTTATGTCATCTTCAGTTTCTTTCTGCAATGTTTTATGGTTTCCAGTGTAGGGACCTTTCACCCCTTGATTAAGTTTATTCCTAAATATTTTATTATTTTTGATGTTATTGAAAATGGAATTTTCTTAATTTTCTTCTTGGATTGTTCATTTTTAGTTTCATAGAAATAGAACTGATTTTGGGGTGTCAATTTTGTAGCCTACAACTTTGATGAATTCAATTACTCGTTCAGACAGGTTTGTGTTTGTACGTGTGTGTTTGTGTGTGTAATCTTTAGAGTTTTCTATGTAAAAGATCATGTCATCTTCAAAGAGATAATTTTAGTTCTTCCGTTCCAATTTGGATGCTTTTAGTTTCTTTTTCTTTCCTAATTGCTTCAATGAAAACTTCTAATGCTATGTTCAATAGAAGTAGGAAACTCAGGCATCCTGTCTTGCTCCTGATCTTAAAGGAAAAACTTCCAGTCATTCACCATTGAGTATAATGTTAGCTATGGGTTTTTCATAAATGGACTTTGGTATGTGGAAGTTTCTTTCTATTACAGATCAACTTCTAAATCATTTATTAAGCCTCCTGTATCTTTTAAGTAGAATAATGTGAATCCATAGGCTAAGTTTGACAATAATCTGATAAACTTACTTACTGTACCGCAGAATATTGTCATAGGAAAAGTTACTGGACAGGAAGAAGAATTCTGATGACACTGAATATAAATTTATAATATTTTATGATACTACTTTTAAATAAAAACATTAATATAATTTATATAAGGAAAATGAAATTATAACAGTTTTTGTACAAAGGCAAAAAATCTAAGCTTATGAATTTAGAGGTCTTTAAGCTTTATTATTTTCTTCTTTTTTAATTTATTTCCATTTTTATGTCTTTTTTCTGGGTCATTCCACTCCCAGTGATGAACCACCATCTAAAGATTTAGGTATTATTTTGGTTAGTAATGACTGCATTATGAGACGTTAGAGTTCTACGTGGAAATATCATATTTCAATTATCTGTAGTTAGAGAAGAAACCTGTCACAAATGGGTGATAAGTTGGCATTTGTACTTATTTTAATAGTGTAGATACCATGACAAATGTAAGCAGTAGTATGTGTAATCACATTTAGATAATACAGTTTTTGAGAGATGCCCCCAAATTAGGATTCCTTGTGTGGGAAGGTAACTCCGTCCGTAATGCTGTAGTTACGTGTAGGTTAAAATTTGTAGAACTTAGTTTCCATGTGATGCTGCTATTTTGTGATGGCAGTTTGTAGGTGTGTTTTTTTTCTGTTCATATCTTGTATACCTTGTTAATATAAATTGGGTTAGTTTTTTTTCTATAACACGCTGTTGTAGTACACTTTCTGTGGGCTCACAGGGTTCACACAGTATATGCTAAAGAAAATGATGAATTATAGTTGTGGCATTTAAATAAAATATAAACATTTCTTGATGAGTAAATGAAGAAAATATCTATTACTCTTATTTACGTAGACGAGTTTAGTAAGGTTAATCTTTTTATAAAATGCACCTTAGGAATGTTATGTTTTTCCTCTGAATGCTGTGGTCAAACTATTACTATCTTTGTGCCAGTAAATCTAACAATTCCATCTTAGGAGGTTAAACACTTGAAAATTTTTTATGAAAGGAAAAGAGCAGAGGTAAACATGACATTGTATGCTTCAGTTATGGAAATTTAATAAAAATGGCGGTTTAGAAGCAGAGGTACTACTGATAAACATTTGTAAGAATTAAGATTTTGTATTATTTATCGCTCTCTGGATATTCAAAAATGCATGTTTAAGTTTCTATGCATAATTTTTATCCATGTGCCCTGGGGTTTCATCGGCATCCCTAGAATTTCCTTGGTAATGAAGACTGTGTTTTAATTTGGGGGTGGCAGTGCGTGAGGAAGGACCGATGGTCTGATCACGTATGGTCTGTGAAGGCTACAGATTGCATCTGTGTAATAGATTAATAGGACTTAATTATGACTTATTCCACACACCCACTTTTTGGCGAAAAATGTAATTTTGTAATAAAATCATAAGAAATGATAGACTGAATACTGAGCTAAACCAACTATAATGGTATATAATATGTTTTTTAAATGACTTTCCTCTTATCTAGTGAGGTCTAATTGTTCTAATAATAAACTTGACTAAATACCTTGGTGTGGGAGCTACAGCACAAAACAATATAGGACCCCATGCCTGGCGTCAGATCAGAAGGGTTCTGTCATCAAAGTGATCTGGATGCTCTAGTGCTCTCGCTAAACTGGATTGATAAACTTGCTCTTTGCTGTGGTTTGTAGATGAGCTGGTCAAAGTGAAAATGCTTCTGCTCACTGGAGACTTAACATGTGTTTAATCATCTTCAAACTGGTTTTATTTTTTCTCAGGTCCAGGAGCCATTGCTGGGATTGTTATTGGTTCATGTAAGTGTCCCAAACTTGGATACCACTTAAAATATCCATGTGAAGAAGAGCATTATTTCTTGAAGGATTTTTCAGTTTCTGTAGTTTTCATAGCTGGATATTAAGTAAATTAGTCTAGAAACACCTGAACTTTTAGATGATATACCACCTCATGTTGGTGAGTGTATATTCTTTTATAGTCTATATTTCCATTTAGTAACAAACCTTAAGTTATACTTATATTTCCAAGATGATTAGTCATATGAGTTTGCACCCCAAATGTGCTTTGGGTAATAACTCTAAATTACCTAAGACTCTGTTTTGAGTTACTGTGGACCATTTAAGTGATTCCAGGGAATTGCATTTAGACTGTGAAGAGTTCAGACGGAATGTGTATGTGCTTAAATAATATTTTCTGAACACTGAAATATAATCAACATTAATTTCTTCTGTTAGATTTTGAATCTTGGTAGTCTTTAGTTACATGTCATTTGTGTTTTGGTTTATTGTAGTGGTTGTCGTCTTATTGGTTGGCGGCTTCGTGTATGCAGTTCTTAAAAGAAAGAAGAAAGGGTAAATTAAACATGTTTCTTGAACATATTGGTGCTTCTCACTCTTGTCATACTTTTGTGTGTTTATTTGTATTCTTTATTGCATGCTGTCTTTTGTAGACATGCACCTGCATGAATGTGCCATCTGAATTGCATTTCTTTACTAAAAATATTTTGAGCTGCTTTTAATATCATTGTAACAAGAGAAATCTGAGAATGTAGGAAAAAATTCCGTGGGATTTAAGGTTTAAGTTCTGCAGCAAATCATGGACCATGATGGGGCTTCCCCGCCCCCCCTCCCCCCAGGTATACACGATTTCCTAAATTGGACTGGAGTAAATTTAAGGTAGCTTACTGTGGAGATTTTGACAGTTGTATTCACTGGAATTTTTCTATGAAAATTTCCATTTGTCTGTATAACTTATGTAGTTATAAGAAGTTATGTAGATGTCTTCATTCAAATACCCAATTTGATTTTTTTCACTTAGAGTTGTTATTTATACATGTTCAACTGGGGAATTAAAAGCAACACTATTTGATGTCCCTCTTATGTTCTCTTAATTTACTAGGTTGCAGGAAAACTGATGGGGTTAAACTTAAAGTTGCTGAGAGGGGTAAGATTTACAAGGCACCTCATTATCTGTTTTTTTTATTTATAAAAATGAAAAAAGGTGGGGAAACCTAAAATAGAAAAAATGTACAAATTTTTCTAAGGAGCATAGGGTTTTTAAACACAACTTAAATTCTAATGAAATAATCTGTACTGTAATGAAAGATTTAGAATAAAACCTGGAGCATAGACCAAGGTGCTTTGAAATTTCTGATTTTTAGTGATTTGTTATTCTCTGTTGCTTTGGAAATAGCTTTGAAATCAAACCAATAATTTTAAGACTTTTGGTATTCATGGTTTTATGATATATTTTCCTTTTATATTAATCACTGGGCTTGGGCTATGTAGTAAAAGTAGATTCGCCACTTCTGAAGAGCTCAAACTTTTTTTTATGTTATTGGTAATCTTTTTAAAATACCCACAGTTATTTCATTTGAATCTTAAATGGTATATTTGTAGTACACATAATATGCATATTCGATTTCTCTTTCAGTAGTATTTTTTTTAATTACATATACACAGCAATGTAACTAGGAAATACTGTCAGTGGAATATTTTTATAATTCCAAAAGATTCATGTAGAAATAACTTCCAAGGAAAGCAAAACAAAATAGCTTTGTGTTCCTCACTTTCCTTCTTTGTTTAAAACATCACTGCATCAAAATATTTAAAATTCTAAAATATGACATCAGAAACATAAAGCATTGAAGGGAGTATTAAAAATGTAGTCCTTTTAGAATATATATTCAATCTTAAATGTCTTATCAGCTTAAAATACACTACCAAAGATATAGGATGATATATATATATAAACTTCATATATAAACCAAAAGCCTACAAAAGATACACAAAGACTAAAGAGAAAGGAGCCCAAATAAAACACAAAAGAAAACCAACAAAGAACCAGGGAAGAGATCAAAAGAAGAAAGGAGCAGAAAAACTACAAAAACAACCAAAAAACACTTAACCAAATGGCAATATAGACATAGTTATCAATAATTACTTTAAATGTAAATGGATTAAATTTCCAATAAAAAGTTGTAGGGTGGTTGAATGGATCAAAAAACATGACCCATGTATATGCTGTTTATAAGAGACTCACTTTAAATTGGAAGGCACATACAGGCTGAATGTGAGGAATGGAAAAAGGTATTCCATATAAATAGAAATAAAAAGAAAGCTGAGGTAGCAATACTTACAACAGACAAAATATACTTTAAAACAAAGAATGTAAAAAAGGAGACGGAGAAGGACATCACATAATTATAAAAGGGTCACTACAACAAGAGGATATAATGATCAAAATATCTATTCAGCCAGTACAGGAGCACCTAAATATATAAAGTAAATATTAATGGACATAAAGGGAGACATTCACAGTAATACAATAATAGTAGTAGAAGATTTTAGTACCACACTTACATCAACGGATGGACCATCCAGACAGAAAATTAATAAGGAAATAATGCCCTTAAATGTCACATTAGACCAGATCAACTTAATAGACATTTACAGAACATTTCATCCCCAAATTGCAGAATACATATTTTTATCAAGTGCACATAGAATATTCTTCAAGATAGATCACATTAGGCCACAAAACAAACCTCAATAAATTCAGTAAGATTGAAATCAGATCTAGCAACTCTTCTGAACACAATGGCATGAAACTAGAAATCACCTACGGGCGGGGGGAGGGGGAGAACTAGAAAAAACACATATACGTAGAGACAAAACAAAACAGCCAATAAATTAAAATGCAAATCAAATAGGAAATCAAAAACTACCTTGAGACAAATGAAATGAAAACATAACTATTTAAAATGTATGGGATTTAGCAAAGTAGGTCTGAGAGGGCAGTTCATAGTTTTACAGGCCTACATCATAAAACAGTAAAAATCCCAAATAAACAATAACTTTGCACTTAAGGAAACTAGAAAAAGAAGGACAAACAAAACCTAAAGTAAACAAAGGAAGGAAATAATATCAGAGCAGAAATAAATAGAAGTTAAAGACAATAGAAGAGATCAATGAAATTAAGAGCTGGTTCTTTGAGAACATAAACAAAATTGACAAACTTTTAGCCAAATTCAAATAAAGAAGAGAGGGAACCCAATGCAATAAATTCATAAATAAAAAAGAAGTTACTACTGACACCAAAGAAATACACAGAAACATTAAGGAATACTGCTAAAATTTTATGCCAAAAAATTCCACAGTCTAGAAGAAATGGATACATTTCTAGAAGCATATATACAACTTTGCAAGACTGAACCAGGTAGAAGTAGGAAATCTAAACAGACCAGTTACTCGCAGTGAAATTGAAGCAGTAATAAAAAAACTCCCAACAAATAAAAGCGCAGGATCAGACAGCCTCACAGGTGAATTCTACTAAACATTTACAGAAGAATTAATGCCTATTGTTCTGAAACTACTTCAAAAAATTTAGAAGAAGGAATGCTTCCAAGCTCATTCTACAAAGCCAGCATTGCCCTGATACCAAAGCCAAACAAAGACATTACAAAAAAGAAAATTACAGACCAAAACCTTGATGAACATAGATGCCAAAATTCTAAGCATTAGAATTTTAGCAAATCAGATTTGATGATAAATTAAAAGGATTCTACACCGTGACCACATGGGATTTATCCCAGGGATGCAAGAATGGTTCAACATTGGCAAATCAATTAACATACACCACTTTAACAAAATGAATGGTAAAAATCTTATGGTCATCTCAATGGATGCAGAAAAAGCATTTGACAACAATTTAACATTCTTTTATAATAAAAAAAAAACACCTCCCAGCAAAGTAGGTATATAAGGGACATACCCCGGTGTAATAAAGGCTATATATGACAAACCCACAGATAATAACATACTCCGTGGTAAGCTGAAAGCTTTTCCTCTAATATCAGCAACAAGACAAGGATGCCTGCAGTCACTTCTGTTCAGCGTAGGATTGGAAGTCCTAGTCACAGCAATCAAACAATAAAAAAATAAAATATATCCAGATTGGACAGGAAGAAGTAAAACTCGCATTATCTGCAGATAACATGATACTATATACAGAAAATCCTAAAGAATCCACCAAAAAATTAATAGAATTAATAAAAGAATTTAGTAAAGTAGCAGGATGCAAAATTAATATACAGAAATCCATTGCATTCCTAGACACTAATAATGAACAATCAGAAGGAGAAATTAAGAAAACAGTCCCATTTACAGTTGCATCAAAGAGCATAAAATACCTAGGAATAAATTGAACCAAAGAGGTGAAAGACCTGTACTCTGAAAACTATAAGACATTAAAGAAAGAAATTGAAGAAGATACAAATTAAATAGAAGAATATACCATTGCAAGGATTAATTTTCTTAGCTGTCCTTACTACCTAAAGTAATATACTGATTCAGTGCAATCCCTATTTAAACACCAATGGCATTCATCTCAGAACTAGTACAGCTAATCAAAGAACTGATATGGAACCACAAAAGACCCCGAATAGCAAAAGTAACCTTGAGAAAAAACAAAGTAGGAGGTATCATATGAAGGTTGGACAATTAAGTTCGCGAACGCATCCTAGAAAAAGTGCTACATACCTCATCGCTGAATATCACTATGGTCACCTCCAAAGCACTCCCCTTGGGAAGCTATGCACTGACACTAGCACCTAGCCCACCCTTCAAAACAATTTTGGAACTCTTTTTCTGGAATGGCTATCAGAGCTGTCATCGTATTACCCTTGGTGTCCTGAATGTCATCAAAATGTCTTCCTTTCAATATTTCCTTTATCTTCGGTTAATTAAAGAAAGAAGTCATTGGGGACAAGATCAGGTAAGTAGGGAGGGTGTTCCAATACAGTTATTTTTTTACTGTCTAAAAACTCCCTTCACAGACAGTGCCATGTGAGCTGGTGCATTGTTGTAATACAAGAGCCATGAATTGTTGTGAAAAGTTCAAGTCATCTAACTTTCTCACGCAGCCTTTTCAGCACTTCCAAATAGTAAACTTGGTGAATCGTTTGTCCAGTTGGTACAAATTCATAATGAATAATCCCGCTGATACCAAAAAAGGTTAGCAACATCATTGCAACAAGTTCACGAACTTAATTGTCAGACCTTGTACACCTGATTTCAAGCTATACTACAAAGCAACAATAAAAACATTACGGTCCTGGCACGAAAACATATATGTGGGACTGATAATTAAGTTTGTGAACTTGTTGCAACGATGTTGCTAACCTTTTTGATATCATAGGGATTATTCATTGTGAATTTGTACCAACTGGACAGTTAACCAAGTTTACTACCTGGAAGTGCTGAAAAGGCTGTGTGAAAAAGTTAGATGACCTGAACTTTTCACCAACAATTCATGGCTCTTGCATCACGAGGATGCACCAACTCACGTGGCACTGTCTGTGAGGGAGTTTTTAGCCAGTAAACAAATAACTATTGAAACATCCTCCCTACTTACCTGATCTGGCTGGCCCCCAATAACTTCTTTCTTCACCCAAAGATAAAGGAAATATTGAAAGGAAGACATTTTGATGACATCTAGGGTAATACGATAACAGCTCTGATGGCCATTCCAGAAAAAGAGTTCCAAAATTGCTTTGAAAAGTGGACTAGGCGCTGGCATTGGTGCATAGCTTCCCAAGGGGAGTACTTGGAAGGTGACTGTAGTGATATTCAGCAATGAGGTATGTAGCACTGTTTCTAGGATGAGTTTGCAAACTTAATTGTCTGGCATCGTATAAATCAAGGGAATAGAATAGAGAACCCAGAGATGGTCACTTACCTGTCAGTTAATGTATAACAAAGGATATACAATGGGGTAAAAATCTTCAATAAGTAGTGTTGGGAAAACTGGCAGATACATGCAAAAAAAGTAAAATTGAACCACTTCTTTAAACCACATACAAAAATAAGCTCAAAATGGATTAAAGAATTAAATGTAAGATCTGAAACCATAAAACTTCTAGAAGAAAACATAAGCAGTAAACTCTTTGACATTGCTCTTAGCAGTATATTTTTGGATATGTTTCCTCGGGAAAGGGAAACAAAAGCAAAAATAAACAAATGGGACTTCATCAAACTAAAAAGTTTTTGCACAGTGAAGGAAACCTTCAAGAAAACAAAAAAGACAGCCTACTGAATGGGAGCAGATATTCACTAATAATATATTGATAAAGAATAATATCCAAAATAAATAAGGAACTCATACAATTTAACAACAAAAAAAAACAATCCAATTAAAAAACGGCAGGGGACTTGAAGAGACGTTTCTTGAAAGAGGACATACAGATGTCCGACAGACATAAAAAATGCTCAACATCACTAAATCACCAGAGAAATGTAAATTAGAACCACAATGAGATATCACCTCATAACTGTTAGAATGGCTATCATCAAAAAATAAAATAAGTGCTGGTGAGGATATAGAAAAGAGGGAACTCTTGTGCACTGGTGGTGGGATTGTAAATTGGCGCAACCACTATGGAAAACAGTTTGGAGATTCCTCAAAAAATTAAAAATCAAGCTGCCATACGACCCAGCAATTATACTTATGATTATTTATCCAAAGAAAACAAAATTAATTCAAAAAGATATATGCACCCTTATGTTCATTGCACTATTACTTAAAATAGCCAAGATGTAGACACAACTAGGTGTCCATTGGTGGGTGAATGGGGTACATGCCTTGTTAGGGAGACCATTTTCTATGGGGTTGAGGCTTGGTCACTACACTGTACACCTGAAGCGGATGTTGTATAATATTGTATGTCAACTATAAGTGAATATATGTATATAGTCACGGGTCGTGGAGTATAGTGTGGGAGTGGAGTCTAGGGAATTGTAATAGATATGTATGATATGGGGGGGAGTGGGGCGGCAGATTGGGGGAGGGGGTTGTCACTTTGAGGGGTAAAAAGTATAACTATTACACTGTGTTGTACAGCTGAAACTAAAAAAGATGTTTATTTCACAATAAAAAAATGGGGTTCTAAAAAAAAAGATGTAAATACACACAATGGAATATTACTCAGCAAAAAGAAAGAATATAAAGAATGAAATCTTGCCATTTGTAACAACATGGGTGGACCTAAAGGGTATTATGCCAAGTGAAATAAGTCAGAAAGACAAATACCATATGATTTCACTTAAACGTGGACCCCCCCAAAAACCAAATGAATAAACAAAATAGAAACTTACCCATAGATACAGAGAAAAAGCTGATGGTTGCCAAAGGGGAGGAGGTTGGTGTGCTAGTAAAATTGAAATTGCAATTGGAAGTGAAATGCAGAAAATAAATGAAAGGCAAAGGGAGGACAGACAGTATAGCAAAATAAACAAGCAAAAAAACCCTCTGCACATACATGGAAGGTTTGATTATGCCTTCGACTCCTGTGGAGAAATTGCTGCCAGAAGAAGCAAGGCAGCGTGTGGTGGGGGGAGAATTCATTACGTCACTTCCTAAAAGGAACATGACGGGGGCGTCTGCATGTATAGGAGAGTGTCCTTGAACGGTGTTAATGTATAAGGAAACCACTGTCAAAATAAAACTGCCCCTTTTATCCATGGCTAAAAAAACAAGATGAAACAAAACAAAAAACCAAAACACAAAGTAGTATAAGTAGTCATTTTAAAACTCATTAAACATCACTTAAATTATTATGAAAATGGCCTCAAGGTTAAAGTATCGGCTACAGTTTTCTGTTTCTTAGCTCTCAGGTAAGAATAGAACAGGATCCCAGTTGGCTGGAACGGCCCCGTCTATCGCTTCTGCCTTTTCCTTTCCAGTTTCCTTTCTTAACTACTTCTTCTGCCACACTCTGCAGTCTTGGCGTCCACAGCTGTTGCCCTGTCCTTTGTCCCTGCTGTGCTCATTTAGCATGTCATGACCATGTGCTTCCAAAAGCCACATGCCTTTTCTTTACGTTAAGTGTTTTCACTTACTTGTAGTGAATATTTTTTCATAGATGCATGATTTTCTTTATTCGCTTATATCATTCCTGGATAAGTGAAAGTTTGTTAAGTTCATTAGTTATTTGCATAATTTATGTATTTTAATAACGAGACTCAATTGTTTTTCTTTTATTCCCTTAAGGATATTTATTATTTGTTGTTATAACGTAAACCTGTTTTTAATGTTATATTAATAATGATTGATTCGGTAACTAATTTTTTAAGCTGCCTGCTTAAATGAATGTCACAAAGGTTTTTTGGATTTATTGTATATAGTGGCCAGGTCAGGTGGTGGGGAGTATAATGACATGACATGGGGCAGAAAACTGGAGGATCAAATAAACTTGAACATTTTTCTACTTGGCTCTAAAATTCTTGAGCATTCAACAAACTCCTCAAAATATTTTAAACAGAAAAGTAATTTTAAAAACCCAAAGATTTTGTAGCTAGTTGAGAGAGCACATTTATGATTTAGATCCATCTGAGAAAATTGGAAAGTTTTATAATCAGTTTCACAGAGATCTTCCCTCAGGTTGAAAGCAAACATGTCACAGGAAGAAACTGTACTTCAGTGCAGAAGTAAAGATGCACCTGAAAATGTATGAGTTGTCATAAAACGGATTTCTTAGACAATATTGCATGCATTTAATTCATGCTCTGTGGATTCCCTCAAAATCTAAGGTGCAAGAGACCAGGACCTATTCTCCTCCTGCAATCTGTTATTCCATGAAAGAGAGCTTACATTATTCATTCACTTCAGGCTAAATGTTTCGGAAGTGAACAGATTGCACAATATTTAGAATCTGTTCATCTCCTGGAAGATCTATAGACTTCAAAGTTAAAGTAGCTTCTTGCACAAAATTACTCTTTCAGGTTCCTAAATGAGAGTCAGAAAAGGCATAATGTATGGACCTAATTGTCAGCTTGACTTCCATTCTCCTGTAGCATTGATTTTATCCCACTTATGATGCCACTTTTCCTTCCTTTCGGTTTCATGTCAGAATTTTATTCAGCTCCTTTCCCTTCCTCTGTTCAGCACCTACGTAACTGGTGAGAGCCCCAGAGAAGTAAAATTTATTTCTCTCTGAGAAGAAGAGATGAAAGGTTTGCTTTTATCATTAAAAGGTATCTGCTTCCTGTGTGTTTCTTTTCAGAGATGTCATTTCTTTTAAAAAATAGCAGTGAATATTTAGATGTTAATAACCTGAGTAAGATCCGATGACAGCAAACATGAAAGAGGATCCTGAGATTCCTGTTTCCTTTGCTGAATTGTCAATTTTAAAATGTCATTTATAACATGTACTGACAGGCTTCTGCTTTGCAATGGGTAATAGCGTAATATCCCCACCCTGGCCTTTTCTCAGAGAGTCTGGCTTCCTCTACTTTGTAGCAGCTGTGAATCCAAAAGGGAGGGACGTTTTCAGCCCAGTGGTAAATAATCATAAAACCCATTCATTTTAAGTAAAGCAGGGAGGGAAAAAAATACCCTTTTACAAATAAACAAATACACTTAATTTTGTAAATGTATTCGATTTTAACTTGTAAATATTGACTCTGTAAAGAAATGTATCTGTTTCCCTCGATGAGAATATTTTTAGTATATAAAAGAGAAATCAATCAAAAATGCTCAGATTTTGAAAAATTACAAATTGCATTGCCTTAAACCCTTTGACACCCCCTCCCATCTTCTGTCTTTGAATGAAATGAATTGAAAGTTTCCTGTATTTATGCCGGAACGTGTGTCTACATAGCTGGGAAGAGAGGGGGTGTGTGTCCCATCACTTATAACTTGAGGCACTACCCTAGGTTCCAATCAAGAGTTTGCAAGCCAATTCTACAAAGGCCGATGGGAAGGGCAATTTATTGGTAAATGCAAAGTGGTGTCTTTGATCCCAGGGGCAAAGGGGAAGAGAACACATCCCAGAGGGCTGTCTGGGCCTCCCAGCCCTCTCTGTCTTGGTCTTAGGATTCCTTGAGGCTAAAACTAACGAGGAAAATAACTTCCAGTCTGTTGCGAGGTTCAAGGAGACTGTAAATCCTTGAAGTTAATTTAATGAATGCTGAAGTTAATATAAAATAACTGTAATTAGAACTTTAGTTTTAATTTTCATTGTCTTCAAATAGCTCCATTTTATATTAAATGTTTCTGTAAATTTATATTAGTGCTTCTCTCATATATTGGATTTCTATTTTAAAATCTATTTGAAAAAAAATATTCCACTACTACAGAAAATAAGATGAATTGACTTTGAAAAATAGAAAAATATAGGGGTCTTGGAGAATTAGGCCATGGGCCGAACGATTCAATCACGCCCCACAACAGTCCTTAGGAAATTGCTATATTCCAAGTGCAGTACTGTGACAGTGGTGGCTGACAGTGACGGCCTCCCCCACAGGAGAAATACTGAAGTATCCCAGTCTGACAGGTTAGCTCTTACATTAGGTAAGCTTTCCTGAATTCTTTGCTGTGACAAATATCTTGTAAATAACTGACCGGGCCAGTTTTAGTTTTAGTCAGTCTGTTGTAGTCAGTTTACTAAAGCAGGGACTACAACTGCATTTTCTAATTCAAAAGTCAATGGCTATGTGTGGCTCGTGACGACTGCAAAAGTGGCTAGTCCCATGGAAGATGTGCTGTAAGTGTAAAATACACACCAGATTTCATGGTTAGTACAAAAAAATGTAAAATACATGGCAAAATGTTAATATTTTGGCTGTACTGGGTCAAGTAAAATATATTAATTTTTCTCTTTTTTGAATGTTGCTTCTAGAAAATTTAAAATTACCAATGTTACATAATATTTTTTAGAAAGATGTCTACTGTTACAATAATTGAGTGATAGGAACTTTAGTTATTTAGGAGAACCTCTTACTGGAATACATGATTTCCTTGACAGTAGGAGGAAATGAGGCATTATTGAATGCGAACACTGTTGGAATCATTACCTTTTTAAAAGTTTCATCTCAGAGATAGATTTAAAATTGCGATGTTAGGAAACCACGTTTTTGTCCCTCGTCTTTCCAACTGGCCCTAAATTAAAATGAGGAAACATTTACTAAGTATTTTATATGTGACTGCTCTGTTTCTTGTTTGCAGGGAATGAAAAATATAATATCAGGATATAAGAAAGGATTCTAGAGAGAGACCAGTTGAGCATTTGAAATTGTTTTAAGAGAATCATTTATTTCCTAGATCAGGGACTCTTAATACTATAAATACAGTTTATTTTAATTGTCCATTTCTAATTATGTACTTAAGTATGTTTATCTCTGACGCTACCTCTTTGTCTTGCCTTTAGGGAAAGAGAGATTAATGCTTCATACAGCGTTTGCAAGAACAAATCAACCACTTCAGAAGAGCAGACTCACTAAATGGTTTCCACAAATGAGTGTAACGCTTTGTCTTTTGATTCTAGTAAATTGTCAAGATTTACATTAAATTTGTATAGCTACTATGAAGACAGTGTGGAGGTTCCTTAAAAATTTAAAAATAGATCCTTACCATCCAGCAATTCCACTTCTGAATATATATCCAAAGGAAGAAATCACTCTGTGGAAGAGTTATCTGTACCTCCCTGGTTATTGCAGCATGATTTACAATAACGAAGATGTGGAAACAACCCAAGTGGCCATCGACGGATCAGTGGATAAAGAAAATGTGGGATACAGTGGAATACTCCTCAGTCATAAATAAATAAATAAATAGAGGAATTCCTGACATTTGCGACAACATGGATGGACCTTGAAGACATTTTACTAAGTGAAGGAAGTCATACAGAGAGAGACAAATACTGTGTGATGTCACTTTGTGTGTGTAATCTGTAACAAACTCAAAAACCAGATTTGTGGTTGCTGGGGGTGGGGGTGCCAGGGTGAGGGAATTGGGTGAAGGTAGTCAAAAGATGTAAGCTTCTAGTTCTAAGCACATATTGGGATGTAATGTGCTGCATGGCGACTAATTATTATAGTAATATTCTATTGCATATTGGCAAATTCCGAAGAGATCTTAATTCTGATCACGAGGAAGAAAAAAAATTTTGTAACTGAGTTGATGGATGTTAACTAAACTTATTATGGTAATCATTTCATAATATACATTATCAAAACATGCTGTGTACCTTAAACTTGTACATTATATATATTGTAAAAAGCCTGTACAGATATGTATATACTACTTCAGCCCTTAAAAATAAGCTAATTGGAAACTGGGAATTTGAACAAGTTTGACTTCCTTAAAATTATTTGTAACTTCTTGGTGATTTAGAAAAGCCATAAAATTAATGTACAGAATTTACTCACCTTTTTTAATATCAATAAGCCAGTCTAAGAAATCAGTAGGAATTGGGAATGAGTTGCATACTTCTGTAAAACTTAGAGGGCTCTAACACCCATAACAGGAATGCCAGCTTGGTACTAAGTGAGTACTGTGGCCTTGTCGTTTGCTTAAGGAGAATTCCACCCCTTTGGAGACATAGAATCCACTGTAAACTCTGGCCTAGGTGGTTTTCTCTCCCTACCTGAATAAAAAGTTGTCTCACTTAGTTCTGTAGGGAGTAAATTCATCAGATAACTTCAAGTTGTATCAGACTCTTAGTCTGTGCATCGCACCTCAACTGCTAACAGGCGGAGTAAACATCAAGCCATGTATTCCCGAAAAGAAAACTTAACTTTCTGTGCTGGTCATTGGTCCTAGGAAGGGACAAAAAGGGCCTAGCTCAGGTATCACTTTATGCTCAGGTTGAATAGATCCCTCCCTCTCCTGGGTCCTCATGCCAGGCAGGGTCGCTTTGAAATGAGCCAGTGGGCAAAGGGGACTGCCACTCTAATGCAGATTACAGTTTTACAAGTTTTCTTTTATACTTTTATATTTAGTAGCTCATGGGCCAAAGAAGCATTACCTTGAGAAGGACATATTTTGGGAAGCAGAGTGGACCAGAATAAATATTGTTTTATTCTATAAAGACATGTTTATAATGCACCATAAGTGTTCTTCCGTTTGTAAACTCTCGTGAGGGACTTTAGGAAGTTATGTTTAAGTAGAAATAGACAGGAATTCTGAATTAAATATAGAGTTGTTTTTATTGCTCCCATTTTCACATACTTATTTTTGAGGAATATATGGTGATGGAAGAATTGACTTTGTGTTTTATAGTACCATAATGTACTATATAAATGTTTTATTACAGAACTGTAAACTTGAAAACTATAATTTTACTAACCAATGGCACCCCAATAAATTTAATAAAATTTTAAATAATAAAAAAAAGAATTAGCACTTGTTTAGAAGCAGTCTGTACTATTTATTTTTTAAAGTCTAATTGAAGTATGTTTCAACCAAAGATTATAACAATTACCAAAGTAAATTCACTTTTGTAATAGTTTCTGCCTCAAATTCACTTTCAATTTAGTGTATACTTGTATGTTTGATGTGTAAATATCCATTATGTTGTCAAATAATTTGTCAAATATATGGGGAAGACAATTTTCTCTAAAAAACTTTGTTTATATGACAGGGAAAGCAGCCTATTTGAATTGAAAGTTTGTTAAAACTGGAAGAATGTATTTGCAGTAAAATAAGTCCCATGTATAGAGTAGAAGTCTTATTCATTTTTTGAAAACTGGATGTCAAGTCTGGTAAAAATAAAATGATAAAATGTAAGACTAGAGAAGTTTTATTTGTGATGATGTGTTTTAGTGTGTTTTATCCCAAACCAGAGTGTTTCTAATTGGGGCCCGTCTTCTGTAACCATTCCACTCCCTCCCGTCTCAGAGCCTGAAGTATGTCTGGGCAGCTCCACTCCCAGCCCATCAGGTGCCGCTCCTGCTCACAGGCGATCAGCGACACCACATTACTTACCGCATAAAGGCCAGATTTCTCAGCATGATGCTTGAAGACTTTCCACAGTTAAATCCCCACTTCTCTTCCCAAGCCGCCTCTTTCTGCTGCATTTCTTCAAATAACCTACTCTCAGTGAAGCGGGACCCTCTGCCCTGTGCTGCATTCCTAGCTCGCTGATACCTGACGCGCCCGTGGTCTTGCTAGATCCCGGGCATCTTCCAAGTCCAGCGTATCCTGCTCATTCCGTGAAGCTTTTCCTGGTTTCTGCCCAGCTCTCATCCCCTTTGTCGTCACCCAGCCTTGAGTTAACCGCATCTAAGTATCTATTGGGTTGTCGGAAAAGTCATGACATATTTTGTCTATGTTTTTCAAAGGTCATTTATTTATATAAAGAACAAAGATCAACCATATGTTGCCCATTTTGTTCGATAACCTTTTGCCATCTTTCAGTGAGATTCATAATTCCTCGTTCATAGAAGGACCTGTCTTTATTTGTGAAAAACTGAACAAGGTGCTGATTTACAGTCTCATCTGAATTGAACGTTATACCACACAAGGAGTTTTGAAGAGAGCGAAACAAGTGGAGGTCTGATGGCGCAAGGTCAGGTGAGTATGGTGGGTGTGGCAACACATCCCATCCAAGCTCCAATAATTTTTGATGGGTGATCAAACTTGTGTGTGGTCTCGCGTTGTCACGATGGAATACAACTCCTTAATAATTAAGAAACCCTGGACGTTTCTGGATGATGGATTTGTTCAAACTGTCCAACGGCTGACAGTACACATTCGAATTGATTGTTTGATTCCTTGGTAGGAGCTTGAAAAACACGACACCTTTAAACTCCCACCACACTGAGAGCATAAGCTTCCTCTGTTGAATGTCTGCTTTCGACGTCGTTTGAGGCGAATCATCATGTCAGGACCAAGACCATTTGCGCACCACATTATTGTAAACAATCCACTTCTCATCACCAGCTATCAGTCGCTTCAAAAAAGGATTGTTTTCCTCATGTCTAATGAGCATATATATTGCAGATGTTTATATGCGCTGTCAAGTGAACTTCTTTGAGTTCATGCGGAACCCAAATATCGAGTATGCTTACGTATCCCAGCTTCTTCAGGTGGTCATGAACACTTGAATGATGGATGTTCAATGTGTCTGCAATCTCGTGTCATGTAACATGGGTTTTAATCAATGCCTTTATTTTGTTGTCATCACCTTGGTGGGCCTCCCTGACCGAGGAGCGTCATTCAGATCAAAATCACCAGCACAGAATTTCACGAATCATATTTGGCACTGACGTTCTTGTAGAACATTGTCCCGTAAACTTTATGCAACTTTTCACAAGCTGGACGCTGTTTTTCCCTTTATGGAAGTAAAACATTAAAATATGGCAAAAATGCACAGTTTGGTCTCCCATCTTCAACTTGTAAAATCTCCAAAACTCAACCAAGTCGCTCAGTTTTTTTTAGAATGAAGCTAGAACCGTCAACTGTCAAATGACAGCAATAACAGATGCAAATGACTCTAGTACTTCCAAAAATGAACTAGTGCCACCTGTTGGAAACATGCGTCATGACTTTCCTGACAACCCAATATATACACGTCTCTGGTACAAATATATCTTCCATATCAGTTTAATGCATGGGTATTGCTAATTAAAAACCTAAATTCAACAATGAAACTATACAATTTGACTTGTGTAACAAATATTAGGCTGTATTTTTATGCAAAAAAAAATTGTTCTCTGCAGATTTGAATTGAATCACATTGCTACACCTCAGATCACGCTTCAGTGTGTCTCAACCATGGCTGCACATTGCAATCACCTGGAGACCTTAACAGATACCTGTGTTCCCCCGCCCCCCCGCCAGAGATTTCTCACATCACTATCTGGGATGTGGCCTGGGCATAAAAATGGTTTAAAACTTCCCAAGTGCTTGTAATATGAAGCTAGGGTTGAGAACCTCTGTGTTATTTTCAAGTCCCACAGGCCATTTCTACATTGAAAACTATAAAGACAGAAGGTAAAGCCATATATGTAAAAAAAAAAAAAAAAGGTTTCATTAAATCAGCCTATTAATCAGAAAATGCCTAAGACTTCTTAAGGTCTTGTCACCTGGCTTAACCAAACAAGAGTATCTGTGGTTTAAAAACACAAGCAAGCTTTCTAATACTGACACTCAATGAAAACTAGGTTGACTAAATAAAGCATTTTATCACATTTTATTTGGCTTTTTCTTGAGACCATAGTGAATTTTTAAAATTGGTATAAAATATACAAGGAGAGCTTTTTAAGGTGACTAACAATAAGTCTTCTGCAAGAATGCTGAAAAGATCTGGGATAAACAGGAATTTGAATTTGCACTGTTAAAGTACATTCTAGGTTTAAGGAAAATAGGCAATCTGGTATTCTAAAACAGTAATGCCTGACAGCTAACATTGTAACCCAGAATGAACCTTCGTACATCTTTTTAAAATTTACATATTTGTACTTAAGAGCAGGAATTAACATAGTTTCTGACATTCAGTAATGATGCAAAACTGAGTGAATGTGCGCACAGAATTTTTCTTTTCTAAGCTACAATTGCTTTCATCATTTCCAGGCTCATCCAGAAAAGGTTCCACTAAAACGGAGTGGTTTGCCTTTGTAAATCGTAGCACCGCTGCCCTCGTGTGGACTGTTAGGGCATTTGACAATCCCTTCTTGAATTCAAATTGTCTTTATTCAGAGGTTTCAGTTATTGCTCTGATTCATAAAAGCTACCTTTAATTTCATTTTGGATCTAGTAATTAGCTCTTTTGTGCTTTCTGTAAAATTAACATTTTAAGAAGGGTTAAACTCTGTCCCTTATTGGTTAAATATGGGAGGAGAATAATATTGCGGTCTGTGGTCAGTAAACTATTTTTCCTTATCCTCCTCTTTACATACCAGCAGAAAGTGAAAAAGTCGCCTTAAGTATAGATCACATTGAGAAAGTGACCCATCCTGGTTCCTGACTTGCTAGCCCAAGAAAACCTGTATAGGAGTAAAACCGATGTTAGCAGAAGGACCCACTTCTGGTTATATCTTACATCCCTTAGGTGACTTTTGAAAAATAAAATTATTGTATATTGCAGTGGCAAGCTTTGTGCCAAATATCAGAAACAAGCAGCAGCTCTGGTATCCTGGAACTTCACTGAGAATTCTGAAGACTACTGTCATGTAGATGGAGCATTTAATTTATGGTGTTTGGGGAAATGAGTAGTCATTGATTACCTACTGCCACTTGAAAAGGCTCCTAGGAAAACACTTGTTCAATTTGCATTTGACTTGGGACTCAATTATGGGAGGATCCTTGGATAAGACCCCACAGAACCCTGCTTCTCAAATTTTAGTGTGTAGGTGAAGCACATGATGATCTTGTTAAAATGCAGATTCTGATTCAGCAGGTCTCAGATGGGGCCCAGGGTTCAGCATTTCTGGGAGTTCTACCTTCTGCTGTTTGTGGTAGGCTGTATAATGAATGGCCTCAGAAATACCATGGTCCTAATACCTGGGACCTGTGAATGTTACCTGTATGACAAAGGGCCTTCATAGGTGAGACCTTGGATGGGGAGATTATCCTGGGTTATCAAGGTGGGGACCTAACTAGTCACAGATAACCTTGTAAGAGGAATGCAGAGGCAGAGGAAGCCAGGCTTTGAGGATGGAGGAAGGATCCACAAGCCAAAGAACGCAGCTCTAGAAGCTGGAAAAGGCGAGGAAACATTCTCTCCTAGTACTTCTGGAGGGAGCATGGCCCTGCTGATACGTTGATTTCAGCCCAGTGAAATTGATGTGAGATCTGACCTCCCGAACTATAAGAATACATACCTGTTTTAAGACACGGTGTGAATGTTTCTGTCCCATCAAGATTCATGTTAAATCCTACCCCTCAAGGTGATGGTATTAGGCGGGGGCCACTGCAGAGTTATTAGAATATGAGGGCTGAAGCTTCACGAATGGGATTAGTGCCCTTAAAAAGAGACCTAGGAAAGTTCCCTCAACCCGTTTGCCATGTGAAGGTACACTGACAAAGCACTGTCTGAACCAGAAAATTGGCTCTCACCCAGACACCAAAACCGCTAGCACCTTCATGTTGGACTTCCTAGCCCTCCACACTGAAATTTCTGTTGTCTGTATTGTGCCTAGTCTGTCGTATTTTGTTACAGCAGCCCGAAGAGATTAAGACACCCAGGTTGTTGTAATTTGTTACAGCAGCCACAGGACATGAATACACCAGTGCCACGGGTCCTTTGAACACAGCCTTTCAGAGGCAAGACTAGAGAGGAGTGGCTCTCAACCCTGGCTGCACATTAGAATCACCTGAGATGAGATTTGTTTTAAGAAAGTAATGTCCAGGGCTGGCAGAGTGGCTCAGTTGCTTAAGAGCTGGCTTAAGAGCGCGAGCTCTAAGCAACAGGGCCGCCGGTTTGATTCCCACATGGGCCAGTGACCCTGTGCCCGAACTGAGCTGCCGCTGAGCTACCAACAGGTGGCAAGATGGCTCAACTGGTGAGAGCACGCGCTCCTAACAACAAGGCTGTTGGTTTGATTGACTCCTGCATGGGATCGTGGCTACGCCCACCTGCAACTAAGATTGAACACAGCACCTTGAGCTTACAGGCCACGAGCTGCCGACGGGCAGCCAGGTGGCGACTGGCGCCCTCCACAATGAAGATTGAAGAACAACAACTTGGCTGTTCCCCTCCCCCCCCCCAAAAAAGTAATGTCCAGGTCACATTCCTAGAAGTTACCCCAGAACCTGCAAGGGTGGGACATAAGAGTCACTAATTTAAAGGCTCCGTGGGTGAATCTGGTTGGGAGGTAGGGTGGGGCACTATCCTTAGAATAAACCCAAGATAGAACTATTTTGTGTGTTCAAGGAAAAGTCTTAAGCTCCCCCCCCCAATATGGACACACTGGTCTGCCTAGTGAACCCCCCTGAAACTATATACCAGCTTCTCAACGCAGGCCTGGGCCAAACCTCACAAAAAGACTTACCAGGTTCATAACACATTGTTTCACCTAAATTGGTCAGAGATTTGACCTGTCTCATGCTTATTAAGAACTCATCAGCATGTATTTCCACAGATGGAAACTACTGCCAGTACAACTCACATGAGGCCTGGGTGTGCCTTCAGCCCAATACTCCCTTCCACTCACATATTCACAGCTACGTATGCCAGGCAAACAGGGCTGAGCGGCGCCCACACCTGACAGAAGTTATTTTCTGTCTAGGTGGAAAGCATGGCCTCGAAAGCTTCAGGGTGTGTCCAGAAGAAACATTCTGCTTACCGATTTATGAAAAACCACCTCGGAATGGCAATTTTAGGTAAAGGCCTGTCAGCATCCAGAATAAAGCAAAATAATCCTGTGTGAGAGGCACTTCAGTTATGGGGGCTTGCAGCTGCTGCTTGTGCCCTGGCCATGTGGCACTGTTTAAACACAAGCATTCAGTGGGAGCACCAGATACTACTTTTATGGAAAAGATGTCTCAAGTCATTGTTTCTGTGCTTTGATGCTAAACATGAATGTCCAGTACGTATCCATCTGAAGACTGCAATCAGAGCAGCCTAACGGCAGAATCTTTTTTTTTTTTTTTTGCGCAGTACCTACACTGGAGCTTGGGACAAGGTAGATTAATAAAAAATTGTTCACTTTGTTACAAATGACCCAAAGCTCTTACACCCACTGGTACTACTGTAGCCTACCTCAGTGGAAAAGCGACTACAACAATTTAGGGTCTTAACTATTCCCACCGCCCCACCCTGGGGCTTAGAACATGGATTCTTCAATCAACAGCCTGAAATAGCACTGCAGCTGCAGTCAGGGGTGAATCACACTCACAGGCAAGTTTTCCCAGCAGATGCTTCACCTCCCACCCCAACAGCCCCACTGCGCAGGGCAGCCATGTGGGGAAGCGAGCTTCCCTGGTGGTTGAGTTGACAGCAGAGAACCGCTGGCGTGAAATAAAAGAACGGCAGGTCCTTCACAGGCAGCCAGGCGTGTCCTGTGCCAAGAGCTCTATCAAGGGGCCACAGCCCTGCTCCCTGAAGATCCCGCAGGTTTCATCCCCTGTACCATCTGACTCATCTCTGAATACCTTTACAGGACTGTTCCCGTCTTCCAGGGTTGATGGAAACAGAGAGCCAAGAGAACCCCTGCATCTCTTAGAATGCAAGCGAAATCATCAGGCCGCTCTCCACTGAGGGCCATGTCACAATATGTTCAGGTAAGCACAAGTTTCTCGAAGGAACCTTGGGGTCAAGGCTGCGGCCCACTGGACCCAGGTCAGTCTGCCCAGCAGTCATGGCCTCCCTAGCCCCAGGTTGTCAACATTTCTCTCTTCTGTCATCTTTTTCTCATTTTATTTCTTGGCTCATAGAATTTCATTTTTGTCTTAATGGGCTTCGTTTTCACTGCGTGCTGTAACCCGCTCCAATACTTTATGAGGTAGGTGAGATCTGCATAGCAAATTAACTTTTAGGACCTCACTTTCCTCATCATCACAGAACTGTGAATGGAAAATAGTAGATGAAAAACAAAGACATGATAAATTGAAGGTAGTAAAACATTTATTAAGTTCAGATACATGAATACTTTGTCCTTAACAGAAAGATAAGTCAACAAGGAACCAATTTATAGAATTTACAACACGACCACATTTCAGCAAAACGCGGCTGAGGACCTCAGATATTATACTGATTTGTTTTTAAAAACCCATTAAACTACCTCCTACCTCTGCAATAAAGTATCAAAAACGCAGTTAAAGAAGTTAGCAGGGAGAAGCGTCACCTTCCTTCCCCACTCTCTGCCCATCCATCTTCCAGGAAACCACAGGCTGTTGCAGAGCAGACTTGGTCTGAGGCTTCGAGGCTGCTGCTTTTCCCCCTACATCATAACCGATTTCAAATGGTGCTAGACAAAAACAGACTCTGAACACCAGGAGAAATCGGTCAGCCTGTGTAAGAGATGGGTCCAGCGGTGCTCCTGGGGGTCCTGCACCTTGACAGTGCAGGTGGCCAGTCTGTTCCAGGGCATCCAGGAGCGGGCAGACAGTGTGGATGTGCACGGACGGGCCTCCAGGTACACAGCCCTCTCCCCTGCCCGTGACGATCAAGTACCCAAGCCAGGGGGTGCCCATCACCACTGCTGGTGGCTGAGGCTACATGTCAACACAAAGAGCATCACACCCTCTGCCCTGTACAAACCCGAGTGTTTTCAAACACAACCCCCTCCCCGTACTGCCAGCCCTCCAGACCCAACATACTCAAGGGTGTACTCTGCTTTTCAAGTTGCTTCCTTCTTGAACCGGCTCTGGTGGCAGAAGGAGAGGAGCCAGTCCCAAGAGCAGTGCTGTGCTGCAATTCTTACTCCTAAAACACTGATTTCAAATGGTGCTAGATACAAAGATGGAAAAATCTAAGCCACCATGTGAAACCAGCTTCCAGAAGAAGAGGATCTCACTGAAGACAGAAGGGAGATGCGATGGGAAGACCCAGCCTCTGTCCCGAGGAGAATGTCTTCTTACAGTTCCAGTCGTGACGTGACATGATATCAAGATCCGTTCGAAAGGCACAGAGGAGACTCCCACAGGGATGCCCAGGGAACCTGGGGGGCATGGCTGATGCTTCGCAGTGACGAAGCAATACAAAACTCATAAGCTACGTTCACTTGTTTAATTCCACAATCAGTCCTTATAAATTATTACACATGAGGATAAAATAGACATTAATAAGCTATTATTAAAATGCCTTGCTGCATTAGCGTTGCCTGCATTATTTCACAGTGTGCAGTATTTCACAGAGTGCAAAATGTTTTCTGATATTATCTCACTTCATCAGGAAACAGGCCCTCGATCTGCCTATGAGGCTCTAGCCACTACAAAAAGGTGACTTTCACCTGGGCCAGGGCAAGCCTTCCAAGTGCCCTGTTCAGGAAGAGCATGGGCTCTGCCTTCTCAGCGGGAAGTGTCACAACATTGGCAATCTTATTTAACCTCTGGTGTGACACAAAAAAACTGGTGTCCTAAAACTGTATTAAGTAGATAATCCTTTAACACAAGAACTGAGTTTTGCGGTGTTTTCAAAATTTGCCTGAAATTAAGATTTGCAAACTGTATTTAAATTAGATTTCCCACATTCTACTAATTACATCATCTTCTTTGGTTGTTTAAAGCTAAAAAACATGTCTCTATTTCCACTGACACCATAACCAAGAGAAAGAGACATAGTAGAATCTGTATGTTCCTACCAATTCTTTAGGCCTCTAGATATATGGGCTTATATTTCTTATGACTCCTGGAAACAACGATATGACCTGCTCTAGGGAAGAGACAGAAGCAACATTTGAACACCAAGTTGTGCTCTTTAATTCGCACAGTAGTCATTTGAAGCAGGTATAATTCTCATTTTTGCAGAAGAAATGGCTCCTTAACATGGTTCAATAACGTGTGCAGTCACATGACTAGTAAATGTGTAGATCCCAGATCAAATGCTAAAGTCTGTGTTCCTGCCCCTCTGCCCACTGCCGCCTGTTCCACAGCTGCACTATCATCTCCCTCTGTACTTGAATTTAATTACCAGCAAGATGGGGTGTGAGGGGCTGTGGTTCCGAGGCAATATTTCTGCATGAAAGTGGCATGTTACTGACTACAACACATTAAACTCGGGTGGAGGCTGGAGCACGACTGGTTCTGCAAGGGGCCTGGTGGTGGAGGCAGCTGCTTGGTTCTGCACCTCTGGTGCCTTTGCGATGTCCCATAGCATGGCTGTGGGGTGGGGGCCGCTGGAGATGAAGCTCCCCACAATGCTGAGAGGATGCCCAAGTGATCCTGACACCAGCACCAGGGCTCTGCAGCCCGTGGGGCTTTGCAAGCCTCAGTCACAGACGGGAGAGCTGGGGTCGGCTCTGCCCGCAGGGGCTCAGAGCGAGGACACTTGCAGTCAACAGTTGGGGCCCCGTTAACCAGGTCGCTGCTAGGGCTTTCGGTCAGGGGTGAGTGTTAAATGACAGCCATTCCCATGGGGTCTGAATCCTATAAAACGAAGAGACCTACATTTGGTAATTCTCAGCTTTTCTGCTTTTTACTTCAGCCACGCGCTTCTTCCTTAGCAACTTCCCGTTGTCAGTATCCATAAAACCCTTTCCTAAGATGCTGTCACACAGATGTCCTTCAGCGAACCCAACTTCCTCCCACCAGAAGGCCTCGGCGTATGCTGTCTCCATCCGCTCTGCCATCACTACCCCGTCAACCCCCTCCCCTGGTAACCCAGGTGGTCTGAAGTCCTCCCCTTCAGGTCTCAGCTCAGCCACCCCTTCCTCAGGAAAGCCCCCTCCAACCCCAGTCCAGCTTGCGGCTAAGTCGCCCTCTCACAGCATCTAGTTCATTTCCTTCAGGACACACTTATGTCATGTGGTCATCAGGGTGATTAATTAATGTCTCTCCCGCTACCCAGGAAGAGTCAGCCAGGAGTTCAGAGAAGGAGCTGCACACAGCACAGGCGCAACTGTCATTGAGGAACTAAGGGGCTTGAACTAGAGTTTGGGTTCCCAACTCTTGAGTTCTAAAATACTTAGTTCTCTGAAAGAAGACATAAAAAAAAATCATTAACAATGCATCACTGTAAAGACTCTAAAACAAGAAGAAGGGGAAGAAAGTAATCTTAGTACCTAAACCTTTTGCCCTTCCGATCCTATTGAATAAAAGGGTCTGTTCAGGTCTCAACTTTCCCAACAGAACCGGGTTTCTCTCTCAAAGTCTGCTGAGCAATGACTCACTTACCTGAAACAAGCCGGCGTTTTTGTTCCCTAGTTGGATGTGGCTGGGTGGTTTGCTGGGGGCTGGAAGGGGCTCGCTGTCCCTGGCATCCAGCACAAGGGCCACCTAGGTCTGTCTGTAAGAAGGCAGCCCAAGAAAGCATCAGCGTGCTGAGGGCTCTGCTGTCAACGGCAGGTGGCAGCATCCTCTCCCATGGGCCTAATGGCACCATGCACACTGGCCAGTGGGGGAGGGCTGGGTGGGCTACCTGGGAAGGAAAACCACCCATTAAAAGGGTGAGTCTGACACCCTGGGAGGTGCCACCGAGCACAAAGGCGGCTTCGGGAGCCAAACTGCAGCCCTAGTCCATTTCTGTGCCCACATTCTCTTTGGAGGTTTGTCCACAACCCCCGCCCCCCCCCCTTCCCATGCCCAGGACACTCCTTGGCTTGGGCAGGGGCTGGAGGGTGGAGGAAAGGTCACCACACAGTGAAGCAGAATGCAGTGGCTTGACTTCCTGCTCGGCCCAGACGGTGAGAACTTCCCTGGAATGGGCCTCAGAGTTCATCGGAGAAGACGGGGGCTGGCGCAGGCTGGTCACTACACATTCACATGCTCTGAGGGCTCAGCAGGAAACTTAAGACAGAGAAGCCTGCAGCAGAAATAGAGTGACCTGGACAGGCTGCGTTTCGTCTGCAGGCATGCAAAACCAGACACGTTAAAAAAACAAAACAAAATTGTGCAGGCCAAACAAAATCATCGGAGTGTTAAGTACAATTCATAGGCTGTCAGGTAAAGAACAATCTGGAGACTGCAAAGAGAGAGTCTACTTCATTCTGTAAATGGTGTGTCTTTTATAGTCCTAAAAATCCTATGCCCAGCATAGCACCCAAAAAAATAACACGGGAGAGAAATGGAAAGGAGAGGCATCTTTGCGTAAGAAATCCATAACCAAACCCATGGAATAAACAGATAGACATTCGCCCCCAGGAACCTAAGGCTGCTGGCTCGTTCTGCGCAACCGCAACGTGTTCAAATCCAGAACGCTGAGAAGGTTCCTGCCAGGCAGCAGCTTCTCCCTCCCAACGGGGCTGGGTGCTGAGTCACAGCTACTTACGTGACTGACACAAGTTCCAGCCAGCGTGGGGGAGGGGTGCCGGAAGCAGAGCCCAGATTCTCCTCCTTCCTGCCACTGGGAATGCTGGTTTCAGGGCTCCTGGCGGGCAGCAGGACCATCTTGGTGAGACAGGGGCCTGGGGAAGGCCCTTTTGAAAAGGGGAACTTCTGCCCTAGAGACAGTCCCAGGCCATTGTATGCATGAACGCAGAGGCCCAGCCCAGCTTCCGGCGCTCCCTGCTCGAGCCCAGACCCAGTGTCCTGGACATTTTGTCTTAAGCTGTCAGGGTGAGGCCTTTGCCAACTAGCTGTGGTTAATGAATCAGAGGAAAGGGTGATACAATGAAGGGCATGGGTATGGGGGCCTGGGTTGAAGGGGAACATGGAGCTGGCTTCCTCTTTCGGGCATTCTGACCCCTAAAAGGCGGGCTCAGCATCCGGGGACCACCCCACAGCCCAGGCTCCAGATCCCAAAGTGGGAATAACGGGTTCCAGACCCACTGAGCCGCCCCTCCAATGCCCGCTGAGGAAACAGGGCGAGAAGTCACGGCCTCCTCAGCTTGCATGGGCCCAGCATCAGCAATTCCGGCTCGGCCTGAGGCAGGGGTTTGGAGGCCTAGGTTCCAGGCAGCGCTTTCCACAAGGCTGGGCGCTCTGTCCCTTCCTCGAGGACCTGGGTCTGGACATCTCCCACTCAGTGCAGGGCATGAAGGCCCTCGGTCAGTCAGCTGGCTATCCTGCCCTTGGGGTGCAGGGCGGCATGGGGTGGGGGAAGGCAGCAGGAAGCCAAGGGGAGGATGAGGGATGGAGTGACGACTGGAGCATGGATGTCTCCTGAGAATGGCTTAGTCCAGGCCAGGGGGGATGGGCAGCGCTTTCAAGGAAGCTCGTGCTCTCCACAAGAGGAAAAGAGCAGCCCCTGGTCTATCACACAAAGTTCCCAGGTCCAGGCCAGCATGGACCCAAAGGAAAACCACCGCTGCGCCCTCCTGCCTCCCAGATCACCTACTGGACTCGGTCAAGATGGACTCAGAAGTGAAACTTCAGCCTCAGGTGAAATCTAACTGGAGGCTGAGGGAAAGGCCCCCAGAGCCCAGCTCCCCAGCTCCCCAGGCAGAGTACCGAGCAGACACACATCCCGTGGGTGCCCCACTCAGGACCTTGGGCCCACAGCTGGGAGAAGCACATTGTCCCCAGGAGCCCCTCCCTTGTCCTGGCCTTGGCAGCACAGCCCCGGCTCCTCCTGGAAGGAGGGCAGACATCCTCCCGGGGGGCCAGGCCCCGGCCAGCACCAGGCCCATACCAGGAAGCCCGGGGTGTACCCACTAACCTCAGCGTGGCGGCTCTAGCCAGTACCTGGGCACACACCTGGCTGAGCACGTGGACTGGGGCACACCCTGTGACATGGTTCCACTTCCCTAGTTGGGGGAAGGGAGGCTGGGCAGACAGAGGGTAAGTCCAGAGTCCAGAGCCAGCTCGGAGCACCTTTCTCTCCTGCTCCTCCTGCAGCTGGTCGGGCTGGGAGCTGTGCCTACACTGCAGGCCCAGCCTCACTGGTTATCAGAGCCTCTGTCTGCCA